AAAGATGTGTGTTTCACATCTCTTTAACCATCATGTATTTCTTGCAGAGCTTCCAGTGATGAGTAAATTAATGCAGAGCAGACCACAAGGATGTCTCATGTGACTTTTTTGCTATATAAAAATGCCTGTCTTTCAGATACTGAGCTGGATCTGGCAGTAGAGACTGTGAGCTTTGCTCTTGGTATAACAGGAATATGGGGGCTACATAACTCACATTGATTCTCTATTGGCCGTTACTGTGTTGGTAGGTAAAAATTAGATGATGATGCCTGAAATTATGAATCTCCTGTGCGCTGAGGGACTGCAGGATATAAATATGTAAGAGGACCTCCAGGAGGAAACGTGGGACTGGCAAAGCCACACTGATCTCAAGCAAAGGCAGACTTCTTTTTGATGCACAGAGCCTTTGCTTGTGTTAGCAGTAAATTCTTTTCTGTTCCAAAATGAGACTGCAAAATCTGTGGCAAGAAGAAAACCCTACAATCAGACTTCAATACCAAAAGACTGGGAATGATTGCAGTTACTTATAGAGATAGGATTGCTTGATGAAAATTGAGATGTAGTGTGTGATTAAACATATATTTGTTTGCTATACTTGTGGTTCAGTCCTGTCATTATAACAATTCAGCCAGTGCAGGTGTGTTACTACTGTCTGGAAGATGATGTCTGGTGGCAGAAGGAAAGGAGAAGCAAAAGCCTATGGCTGCGTAAAATGATTTTTTTTCTTTTTTTTTTTTGTCAGTTAGTTGTCTAAATAAAATAAGGTATTTTAGAAATGATAGTCGATTGAACAGCAATCAGAAATTAGGCTCCAAAAAAGTTAAACCTCATGTTTTTCTTTGGTATCTGCAGTGTGCAAGTGCCTGGTCCCTTTTATCTACTAATAATGTTTTAGCTTCCATTCTGATCTCGTCTCTCATAATTCCTGAAGAATATTCATGATGCCCTATGAATTGAGCTGGCTGGTAAGTTATCTGTCTTTATACCTCTGGAGAAGTTTGATTGCAAGCTTTTCTGAGAATATTTCATTCCTAGCACTTCATTTATGCCCAGTCTGGTGTTAAAGCCTCTGTGGACATACCAGTGTACTAAAATTGCGTCACAGCATCGAGTGAATTGGATCCTGGATATGCTTTTAAATTTATAAAAAAACTAAAAAATAAATATTTACCTGTGGGCAAATCCCAGCCTGTGGCACTGCTGTGGGTCGTGGCCTGCAGGGAAAAGCTGCTCTTCACCTTCTGACTGATGCATCTGTCAACTGATGTTTTGCAGAATAGTAAATGGGGGTGAAAGGAATTACCAGAGCACAAATAGCGATCACATCATGGTTTCTTGTCCTGGGTACTATGTTCTTAAACTTGTTAGAATAATGCCTGGTATAATCAAGCTATACTTCACTACTTAAATCAAGCTTAATTTTAGCCCAGTGCTTTTTGAATTGAAATGACTCAGGCAAACCTTTGTTTTGAAATAATTATAATTGCTTCTTACAGTTTTGCACACAAATTTCAGTTGTATCCTGATCTAAGAAATTTTAGCATTCTAGTAGATGGCTCTTCAATGTCCCTTTTGCAATCCGCATTTGAAAAAAAACCCAAAGAAAAACAAACTGACAGAGAAATAGGACAGAAGATTATAGAACTCTAGTTTCTTTTCAATATTTATTGTATTTTTTCAATATTTTTCCTTTTCTAGGTGTTTTCTAGGTTTTGTGGACTTAGGCTCTGTCCCTCTCAGCCTCTTGTGGTTCCTTGTGCACTCCAGTCAGCACTCTGTCAGAAGGCTTGACTCATATTTACCTTACAATTTAGAACTGATTCTCCTTGCAAACGTTTGAAACAAACAAACAAAAAAAAAAAGGAACTGAATGATATTTCACTTTTTCCTGGGTTTCTGTACTTTTAAATTGAAGTGTTTAGGAAGCTGGGTCTTAATTAGCTTTTAGTGGAGGTGAGATAGAAAAGTATTTGTGTAACTGCCCATTATTTTTGCCTGAAAACACCTTTTTGGGTGTCACCTGACTCACCTCAGTGCCTTCTGAGATACCTGCTGCTTTGCAAGGCTCACATGGAATATTTGTGAGACTTAGTAATACCACGCGACAAGAAAGGTAGAGCAGGATGAAAATCAATTGTGTTCTCAGAAATGGAGTTCAGTGCCTGCTTTTCAGCATGTGATTTGGGTTGAGAGAAGGAGGATTGAAAGAATAGTTCTTGTATTTTGTTCGTTGGTCATCTCATGAAGAACTGCACAGCACTGCATCTTCTGGATAGAGAAGGGCAGACCTTTGGGAGCTGAAGACTGGTAAGACACTGGTGCAACTTTTCTTTGCTGGCCTTAGTGCCCCTCGCAGTGTTAAAAGTTTTGCTTTTCTAGCTTTGTTCTTCCTCCTGATGTTTTGCCAGCATTACAGATGGGAGATATTAGCATGTTCTTAACAACAACCACACCAGCCCCACCTCAATACCTAGAAGTTTATGAGAAGATGGAATTTCTTCAGTAAAGCTGTTACTGTGGATGTCATAGGGAGCTGGGGCAGGAATCCCCGTCCCTGCATGGAGCCACTGAGGTGCTGATTGGAGCTGACTGTGCTGGATTATCATTTTTCAGGTCTGATGGAGCAGTGTTACATCAGGATGCTCACAGATGTGTCCAAGCTGTTTGCAGAGTGGATGTAACTTTGAAAGCAGCATAATCATACTAATCTTCTGCTTGATAGCAGAAGCTTGGACCTGAGGTGGCTTGACCTGTGCCTGCAGCTTCTCCTGCTTTGTTCACAAATGTGTTGGGCCCTGTATACCTGCATCCTTTCCAGTTTCTCTCAAGAGCCTGGTGAGATGGAAGTTCCTGATCTTGTCAAAACCCAAACCCAAACAAACAAACAAAAAAACCCCGTAGCTTTGCTTGCAGCTTTTCAGCTCTTCATATGTTTTGCCACAGAGGTCTGTGCTTGTCTCTTTGTGCTTCCTCTTTGTGTGACCCTTTCCCCTTTGGACTAGGACCCTTTCCCCTTTTTATGATGACTTCTCAGAACTTGGTCTTCCAGCCTCCTACCCATCTTACGTTTACAATAAGTAAAATCTTTTCAGTCCCCTCATTACCTGTGGTGGGTTTTTGTCCATGGATAGTAGCAGAACCTCCTGACATCACTTAGAGCCTTGGTTAATGCCTGAGGTGTGGCAGCAGCAGGTAATGTTTGAGGTGATGCTGCTTCATTGACTCTAAATACCTTCTTGTTCTGTTGAGGTCTTCCCACCTCTGCAGTGCTGTTATCCTAGCGTTGCTGAGTGCCAACTCAGAAGAATTTCCATCTTCCAGAACAGTACAAGAGGCAGCAGAAAGGGTGAAATGAAGCCTTTATTGGCTCTGGGGTTTTGCTCTATTGTCTGAGTCCTAGGTATGGTAATCTGCTTTTTGATGCAAATTACACTTCTTGTGACCCAAGAGTTTAGGTAGGTCCAGAGTTCAGCTTGGTTTGAGTGAGCTTGAGAGTTTTATACCTACATGCTTATGGCAGAAACCCAGCAACCGTTTTTCTTTCTTGGAACAGTTAATTTGTTGGTCACATCCATTTGAGGCAAGTGTTTTTCTTCTAGATCCCTTGATCTCTGACCTGTGCTGGGTCATCAGCTTGGCTTTATGTATGTCTCTTGATCTCTTTAGGGTTTGAGAAATGAAGATTTCTTTGGTTTCATGCCTTTTTTAGGGAAACAGCATGTTGTGGTCACAGCTGTCAGGTAGCTCTTGAATCTTAAAATTCATAGTTTCTCCAAAACTGGTGGTTGTTCTGTTTGCTGCTTTTGGCCATTAGGCTTAGAAGATGCTCTCGGGAGAGTGTGGTAGTGCACTGCCTCCTGTAATAGTGCCTTGTTGATGATATCTTGACAGGTATCATCACTTCGACTCACATAGGCAACAAGAGATCTTGCAGCCTGGTGGTTTGTCATTCATGTGAGTACATCAGACTCATTTAGGATTATAAATCCTTGCCTGTTCCTACTGGATTTCTCTTAAAAAAAAAAAAAAAGAAGGGGGAGGGGGCAAGTAAATGCCAGTTAATGTCACAGCTGCACAACTTTATGACATTCCTGTGTAGACATTGGTGAAGTGACTTGCATTTTATTTCACCTGCAGGATATTCAGGTTGATCCATCTTTGACTGAACACTTTCTCTGTCTTAATGGGCAGTTTGGAAAAAAAAAATAATGATCTGTTCCAGAGTAGTTGGGATTTATTTATTCTGCATGCTTAAATGAAGCTTCCAACATATTGTAGGAGAAACAGTTAAAAAGAAGAATGCCTTACCACTAAAGTCGAGGAACATGGATTATTTATCCTCAACCAAGCCTCAGACAAACTGGTGTCAAAGACAAAAGTGTAAAAATTGCTTAAATCAGCTCTGGCAGTATGTCACATTTCTTTCAGTGAGCTGAAGCAGTAACTCAGGTAGCTGTCACCTGTTTTCTTGTTTCCAGATTCAGTCCTAAGTTTTAGTTTATGGACAATTGTACAGATGCAAAGAGTTATAACTTATTTTGAAAAACTGATCAGGATCTTCCCAAGTATACCTCAGTAATTCAGGATATTTGATGGCATGTAAAAAAGGCAACTTGCTTCACTTCACTTACCTTTTGGCTTTATGCTCCCAGAGAGGCGGGAGAATAATCTTAACAACTTCTTGGTCTAATTACGGTTTCTTTAAACTGCATGTGTATGTGACAGTTGATTTGCTATTTACATATATTAATATTACTAACTAGCAATCTCAATGAAATGCTTCACCACATTAATGAAGAGGGCAGCAGAGCCTTTCTTGAGATTGTAAAGTCTGTTTTATTCACATTATTTGTAATAAAGAGAGATCTTGTTTGCTACTTTTTTATTTGTTAAATGCCAGCTTCCTCTTTTCCTTGTCATAGGGTTAGAGGACATGTCGTCTGTTATAATAACTTTCTTCTGTTTGAAACTTAAGTATTTCTACTCTCATCTGTTTTTAGATGATGAAGGAAAGACACTGTGATGGGCACTAAAGCATGGACTTGCAGTGTGAACTCTGATGGCAGGTACTTGTGTCTAGTCCTGGTGGTCTGACGTATCTGGGGAAGGCTTAGGTGCCGTGTGTCTCTTGGCCGTGGTTTTCTCTGTTCTCAATTTATTAATTTCAGCATTGATAGAAATGTTTGTTTGTCTTTTATAGCATATCCAAGAGCTGTGCTGCAACAGAGAAGGTGAGTTTAGGGGGTGAGAGGGAGTGGGTTGACAGCCAAGCCCTCAATAGTTAATCTGTTCTGTTTTTTTCTTATATAATCCTTAAAGTTTTATGGACAGCTGTTGGATTGATCAGACAGCTGCTGAAACCGTAACAAAATGTCAAGAAATGGCATGTTTTTAGCATTGGGGAGGAAAAGAGACCAATTTGAGGATTAGATTTTTAACCCCTCCTGAAGTATTTTTTTGTCCTTTGAGTTAGAGACCCAGATACAAAGTCACCAATCTGTTCAGTGAGGGTATTTTTTCTCTTTGTATTCCTGATTGAGAATTAGTGTCTGTGTAATGCTTGTTGCTAGAAACTATTGAGTTGCTCATGCTCATTTATTTCTGTGCTGTGAGTTCAGCTGAGTATTCCTCTCTGCTCTATGATGGGGGACTGCTGGTTGCTATTAGCTGTGCTTTAAAGACAAGAATTCCTGTTTTCAGTCAAGTTTAGGTCACATTTGTTCTGAAGCCTGATGAAAGCATTAGCTAGTACATATATTGTGATTCTCTGATTTGGGTTATAGAGGATTTGCCTGTGAATCTTGTTTTAACAGATCATTAAGTGTCTGGATTTCTTCCTTGGGTAACCAAGCAAATAGTCTCAGATATGCTTTGTTAGGTAGAACCATGTGTAGACAACAAGGTTTTATTATTCATGGGGAAAAATGTAGTGTAAGAACATGAAATCTACATTACCTTGAATTAAAATAATTAAATAAACAAAATTTTAGGACATACAGTATCTTAATGCCACAACTTGGAGGAATGATGTAGAAATTCTTGAATGAGTCTTGTTTTAACTGTCATTAAAAATATGCATACAATCTGTACTTTTGCAGTAAATGTAAAACGTACCATGGATAAACTGTCTTCTAGAAGAACCTCGGCATCTGCCTGTCATGGCAAGTGATCTGAGCAGTGACTTACCCGTGTTAGCAGTTTCAGGTGGGTGTGTTATATGTATTTGCAGTCTTTTCTCTTGTTCTGTGCAGTGTACTAGAAACTGCACGTGCCTTGTATAATTTGTTTCCTACCCGGTCCTCTTGTAATGTCCAGTTTTTCTAATAAACACCTTTTGAAGTCATTGCTTTGTGGTTGTTTTCCAAGGGTCTGAGTGTTCCCATGTGTTGCTTGTCCTCAGTGACATATTCTCTTTGGATCATGCAGGGAAGAGGAGAAGAGAAACTCAATCACTTCCTTTGGGTGGCAACTTTATTATAAGCTGCCAGGTCAAAATGCAAGACCTTTTCTAATAGTTTCTCTGTTTTGAGTATTTTCTTGGAGTGTCCTGATGCTTCAGATCAGACAGAAAACCAATTTAAGCAAACTTGAAGAAACTTCTCATGAAGCAAAATTAATTCCGAATGTTTGTTTGGAAAACAATGATGAAACAAATTGGAAGTTGTGATCTTGTGATTTTATTCCTGTGAAGTGCCAAGTCCTGCAGGAAACTTCAGCCATATGAGGTTGAGAGTTACCTCGCACTTACATGAATACCAAGGGTTTGGCTTCATCCTGGCTTGTTATTTTTTGTTTCAGAGGGGGACTGAGAAGAGAGCAGAATGCACCTAGTGGTCTTTAATGTGCAGTACCTCACTGTGTTTGCAATATTCCTCCATTTGATTGTTTCCAGGGAGTAGGGGGAAGATGGCCTGTGTGCCGGCATAGATATGTTTTCAAGAGGTGAGAATTTGTGTGTGTGCATGTGTGTATTTACTTAAAAATCCCTTTCTTCTATAGAAGCATTCTGACATGTCATGTAGTTCAGTTTGGCTTTGTTTTTCATTTCAGCTGTGCAGACATTACCAGAATCACTCGGAAAGATACTCGTTTTTTCCATGCTTAATCCTTTTTATATGCAACGTTGTACTAGTCTTGCTGAACAGCAGGAATGAATGGTTCCTAAAAACAACTACTACATAAGTATAAGTTCAGGAGCTGGCATGAGATTATTTTGGAGACTTGGCCAAGAAAGAAGTATTAGAGTTAGTCCTGTAACAAACATGTTTGGCAAATTGAAAAAAAAATCCAAAAGTTTTGAAGTTTGACTCAGCTCTAACCCTCTTCAGACAAACAAAACCTTCTCGAATACCTTGATTTGGCACAATTGCGGCATTAGTGCTGTGTGTGCAGTCCTCTGAATGCAGCTCTGGGTTCATAACTGGTGTGGCGTGCTGGCAGGCAGCTTGCTCCCTGGGAAGAGGATGATGTGAAGTTGGATTCAGTCAAAATTCAGTGAATGTCTCCTATTACAGAAAAATGTTAGATTAAATCTTGTAGGTTTACCATCCTGTGAATAACCGAGCACATTGCTTTCATGGGGCGAGAGGGGAGACACTTTTCAACCAGGACTGGTCTGGAGGAATCATTAGCCGCTTCCACATGCGGAGCCATCCACTGCCCTTTGAATCCACCAGAACATGAATAAACATATTTTATGTTTGTGTTTGATTGTATGAATTCTTGCTTTTTTGTAAAGGGACCTGTGAATTGGAAAGAAATCTTGTGCGTAAGTTGTATTCTGGGGAAGGGAGAAGACTGAGAGGATACTTTCAATGTGCACATCCTCTGGTTGTTCTCTTGGCTGAAGAACAACAGTGATGTTGCTCTGATGCAGTAAACTATAAACTGTAGCTGGGAACGGTTCTTGTCATTGCAGACCTTGGGCTGATGGCGTTACTTCAATTTCTGCTACACTTTGAGGAATGAAATGGTAGAGTAGTCAAACAAGATGTTACAGTGTAAGAATAAGGATTGCTGAGATACTGCAAGGAGGACAGAGCTCTTGTTCCTCACACTCTGTAATGTGGGATTTACCAGTTAATACTGCACCATTAAAACTGAAGATAAGTATTGAAACATGTCAGGCAGTTTTGCCTTGCTTTTCTTCAGCTTAGTGTGTGTGTGTGTGTGTAGCTGGGTAAATCTAGCTCAGCCTGTGTAAGCGTATCCAGGCTGTGATCCTCCTTACATGCTCTGGGTCACTCTGAAGTGGTATAAGCTAAACACTGAAAGTACCTTTTTTTTAAATTAGGAAAATGACATGGTATATTTAAAGGGCCTGTCCTAGTTTCAGCTGGGATAGTTAACTGTCTTCCTAGTAGCTGGTACAGTGCTATGTTTTGAGTTCAGTATGCAGAATGTTGATAACACTGATGTTTTCAGTTGTTGCTAAGTAGTGTTTAGTCTCAAGTCAAGGATTTTTCAGCTTCTCATGCCCAGCCAGTGAGAAAGCTGGAGGGGCACAAGAAGTTGGCACAGGACACAGCCAGGACACCTGACCCAAACTGGCCAATGGGGTATTCCATACTGTGTGATGTCCCATCTAGTGTATAAACTGGGGGGAGTGGGGGTGGGGGGATCACTGCTCGGGGACTAACTGGGTGTCGATCAGCAGGTGGTGAGCAATTGCATTGTGCATCATTTGTACATTCCAGTCCTTTTATTATTACTGTTGTCATTTTATTAGTGTTATCATTATTAGTTTCTTCTTTTCTGTTCTATTAAACCATTCTTAACCCACAAGTTTTACTACTTTTCCCGATTTTCTCCCCCATCCCACTGCGTGGGGGTGGAGTGCGTGAGCGGCTGTGTGGTGCTTAGTTGCTGGCTGGGGTTAAACCACGACAGGGCCTTAAGGTAGGAATTAATCTTTTTGGGGAACTTCTTGCTCCCAGTGTGCAGATTTCTTTGAAAGTGATAACGACCAGTTGTATTGGAGTAAGAACTGGTTATACTTCATATAGGGAAGGTACATATGGTGCAAACAACCCCCCTCAATTCAACTTTATCAGTCATAGCCAAAATTCTTCATGCTGTGCAGCTCTCACACTTTAAAAATTGACACATTTGGGTCTCCTATTTCTTGCAACTCTTTACAGGTCCCTTTATTTCCACCTGCTGGATTTCAAATTAAAATTTGGATTTTTTTCATATTTTGACTTGCACATTTACCTACCTGAAAGCACATAGATGAGGGCAGATGCATTAGAGATGTGTTTAAAGAAACACAGGCTAACTGATCCCTTTCCAGAAACTCTGTGACATTACAAAAGTCAAATCATTCCCTTTATAAATTTTATCTGAGAAAACACACGGAGGCCAGTGTTTGAATTTTCTCTTCAGAAGGAAAGCTGAAAAATTTGACAATGAACTGTGAAAAATGGTGTGGAAATCTCACTGTTGTAAGCTGATAGGTTGCACACAGCCTGTTCTGCTGGGGTTTGTAACAGGGGACTGCACACAGAGACAGGGCAGCAACGGGGAGCTGTGACCTGCCTCATGCCAGTGTAACTCCAGAAACAACTGTTTCCAATCAAATGAGCAGCAGCCTTGATGATAATTTCTGAGATTTTGTACTCCTGGGCCTGCCCTTCATCTAGGAGGGGCTTTACAATGGAACTGGACAATTTTTCAGTATAAATTTGTTACTAATGCTTTCTCCTAGTCTGTGCTGCTTTTAATGCCACTGATCAGACTCTGCATGAACCAGTGCTGCCAGCAGCCCAGATCACTGGCAGCTGTTAATGTTGCTGCTGTTGATTTTTTTTTTTGGATGGTTGTGGAAGCTGGGCTTGGAGGGCAACCTCTTACCAGGATAGCTAAAACCCCTTTTTCTACCACCGTGGCCTCAGGGTGTTATGGGGGAGCTAGTGCAAAGTTAAATGCCATGGATGGCTTGGGGGAACTTGGACCACCTGGAACTTACAGAAAAAGGTTAAACTAAAGGAAAGTAGGTGATAATGACTGTTTTCCTGTTGATAGATCGTGAACTATCAGTTGTGACCTGATGATCACTCCCAGTGCTCCAAAAATTGATGCTTGGTTTCTGCTTTAGGCTTCATTGTTTCTACTTCTTTCTGTACTTTCTATGCAGCTTCTTTTTGCCTTGTGATGAAATTCTCTCCTGAGCCAAATAAATGGATTTCCTATGGAGTCTTGCAAAAAAAAAAAAAAAGGTAATAAAATCTCTTGGATCATGACCTCTCCAGAACTACAAAACACTTCAGTTTTTAGCTGCAGCTGCCACAATCCTCTCTGCCTGTCTCTGAGGGCCTGTGTGTGTCTGAAGATGCTGAATTACAGCCCTGAGAGGGCTGGTGGATGCCCAGAGAGTGGCAGGGTTGGGCCCCAGGACCTGGCGTGGGGAGGGTGGATGCAGCACAGGAGCTCCAGGGCTGCTTTTCCTGGATGAGGATGACTTTCTTATTTTTGGAGCGCATGTTGTGGGCAAAGTCCAAGCTAACAGCAGCCTAGGGCACACTCGTTGATGCAGGGTGGAAACTGGGTCCCTGTCTGCTTTCCAGGCTTTGACCTGACCTGCTCTCATTTGAAGCCTGTACCACCTCCTGCAGGGTTTCTCCTTATGTGAAAAAGAGGTCCTGGGGAATTGTTTGGATCATGCTGTACTTACGGCCTGGTTATTGGAACCCATGAAGAGTGCAGTGTCTCTGGGCACGTGCTGAGGAGTGTGGTGTGGAGCTGCAGTCATTTCTGTACCCAGGAAGGCTTTGTGTTAATAAGGAAGAAGCATTGCTGGGGCTGTCATGGTGGCATTTGGGCAATGCTGTGCTCAGATGAAGCCTTTTAATTTTTCCATCTGGTGTGATCAGATGAAAGAAAGAAAAAATAATTGAGAACAGAAATTACTTTCTATGCTGGAGACAGCGGAGCTTGGCTGTCTTTTCCAAGATATGTTGGTTTTGAGGCACCTGAGTTAGTGTGTTTTGGATCTGGTATCAGCCTCAGCCTGTCCTGTCTCCTGACTTGCAGCATTGCCAGCAGCATGGCAGAGAAAGGACAGCTTCAGTACTGCAGCAGAGCCAAGTGCCCTGGCCTGACGTGAGCAATGAGCTTTAAGCCCTTTGCAAAAGCATGTTGATCTTTAATTGCCAGCTGGCGTGCAGAAAAATGTGCTATGAATACTTAAGCACACAGCACCTCTAAATCTTTTCTTGATCTCATGGTCTTCTACCAGGAGAGAAGTTAGAGATACCTGTTAACCTGAAACATCAGAGCCTGGCTGAAGGGACTAGGGCATGATCCAGCAGCAACCATGCAGCTCCTTGAAGGGCAGTTACCAAGATGATGTGCTGAGCAGGGGAGGTAGCTAGATTCAGTGCCTGCAAATAGTGTTGCAGGAGTTTCAGATTGGACATAAGCAACATCTTTGTGGAAGAGAGCAGTGCAACAGTGGGACAGGGTGGGGAGATCTCTGTCCCTGCAGTCCTGAGTTTGGGTGGGGGATTGCCCTACTTGAGGCTTGAAGTTGGATGAGAGTTCTGCAAAAGTGCTTTTCAACCACCAGGAAAAGGCTCTGCTGCAGACAGGAATGAAAACCTGCTGCCACCTGAAGAAAAATTGTTTATTAACACCCCCCTTACCCCCCTTTTTTTTTTTAATAACAAACTTTACTTTGTGCCACATGAGTGATGCTCTTCAGCCAGCCTTCCTCCATCTGAAAGTTGTGGTCTTGTA